GGCATGGCTAACTCACAGATCAATTTGGGATTGAAAGTGCTATGTTTAGCGGATCGAGAAAACTGTATAACCCGTGGACAACCTTCCACTTCAGTGATACCCAACCAATCTACTCGCATTTGATGGCGAGTTCAGGAATCGGACTCGAGACCTCAGAAGTGAGAGGCGAGAACCCCACATCTACGACCTTGATCCCAACATCATACTTACGATGGTATTCCAGTCTCGGTTTCAATCTGCAGCTTGAGTTGTTTAACAGTCATTGTAGAATAAACTTTATCCAGTGTGACGCGTTTATCTGTTGGTAACTCGAGAATCACGTTGAAAAAAAAGCGCGCCTTGTCGCCACCTTGGCTGGCGTTTTTAGCGATTGCTTTCTTTGCTGGTGCTTTGCCTTTCTTCGTGAATTCGAAGAAGTCAAACATAGGCGGAAGTACGGAAGTCATTTTAGTATTTTTGATGTTCGGGAATGTTTTACGATGAGTGGAATCATTGATGACGTCCGAGAGGCGCGTTGAGCCCGCTATCTTGGTGTAGTATGCGCGCGCATCTATAATTAACCAATTAGCGCTCTTTTCACTTGCCTGGTTCCTTTTGTTCTTTGCCAAGAAACGGAGACTAAAAGCAACGCAGGCTCAGAGCATCAATTCCAAGAGATTTCAATTCTCATAAGAGTAAAACTCTAATGTTTTTTCCTTCCAAATTGGGCTGCAAATACACTGAGTTCCTTTAAAAATTGAAATACTATTTATTTATAAGTAAATGTTTGGAAGTGTTATGGGACTGGAGATCGCAGAAACCACGGGTCTCCACCAATGTTATGGGATGGACCGCTCTCGGTAGAGCTACTCGGGATCTTTATTCTACTTTCTCTTCTTCTATACTCTATCTCTACTCTTCTGACTTAAACTAATTACATGAGCTCTATTTATAATAACTTCATGACATGTGTCATTCTACAATCAATATGATATTATCGCTGTGCCTTGATTGGCTAATGGTAATAGTAAATTCCTAAGTGTGATATCTTATTAAGAATAATACGAGTGAAAATCATAGAACTAAACAAAGCTTAAACTAAAGATATCATATGAGTATATGGTAAATGTATAGAAAGGTCTACGAGGAATATATATATAATAAGATTTAAAAGAATAGTGGTAAAATAACTAAGCAAAGGGGTAAAGAGTGTTTAGGGTGTAACCATAGGTGTACATGCTAATGGGAGGAGCTAAGTGGTTTACTTGTAAATTCAAAGCATACCATTATCTAAACGTGCGTGATGGTAGCCCACAGGTAGCCCAAGCTTGGTTTCTGTGGTGTCCTGTTATAAGGAAATGTATGGGGAATCATCAAAAATTTCAATAAAATCATC